CAAAGGAAAGGATTTGTAGGATGAAAAATCCTTGTCTGTCATTGTCGTTGGTCAACACCAAAAACGTGTGCACCATCCATCACTACTTTGGTCTGCTGCACTTTCTAATTTCCCATTTTTCTTCTCCAAAGTTAATCTAGTAAAACACATGGAAGTTTCTAGCAAAGTAATTAATTCCTAATTGCTTATGTCCCAAAAGAAAGAAGATTTTATTTGGCGTAGGACTGAACGATCCAAAGATTAAACAAAATAGAATATGGGATGAATCTAACTAATTTAACTAAGACAGTGAATCGTGAAAATATTTTAGCAAGTTTTTGGTAACTTCTTTATTTTTTATTATATACTCTCTCCATTTTAGGATAAGTTTAGGATAAAACATATTAAAAACTCTATTATATTCTTTAAAACAGTTTCACTTTAGCATTTTATTCTATAATTGGTTAAACTAAAAGGTAATTTAAGTATTTTATAAAAAAATTTCATTGAAATTTTAAAACGGCACTTATTTGAAAACTCTGGAATACTTATTTAAAAACATAAAATTAACCTTAACCACATTTAATTTAACACAGAGGGACTAAATAATATCACCACTTTACATATTCATAAAGATATCTTAAATTTTTATCAATCTCAATGAATTAAAGGTCTCGACGACGTCACTCACTTCTACATATAGAACTAGAAATATTTTTTTGGATGACCCATACTTACACTAACCAGAATGTTTTTGTTCTTGTTTTTATAATTAGTCAAGACGATGGATAACAAATTTGATTGGCTTAGGTTTTCTCAAATTTGGAACATTTTAAGATCTTTATAGACATTTTTATTCATTATATCACATGTTTCAATAATATATGTGTAAGTTTTTTGGTTCCGGCCGGAAAAGCCATCCCCATAGGACTACTATCCGCACAAATTTGGGGAAAATATCAAAATTTAAAAGGAGAGAAGGAAGCGTGAATGAATAGGATATTTGTTAAATTTAAGAATGGTGCAAGAAAAAGGGGTAATTAC